AAAGCCATACCCTATAGAATTGTGTTTAGCACAGTAGCAGCAATCATCACCTATTGCACGCCATACATGATCACGGATGGTCATGTACCTGTCTATTATTATGTTATTCTCATTGTGAATTATGCGCTGTATCAGGTGTGTCTGTATTGCATGTTTGTAGCGGTAATGGCATTCTTTGCCAAAATTTCTGATCCTGCCGTTGGTGGCACGTACATGACATTCCTGAACACACTATCGAATCTAGGCGGAAATTGGCCGAATACCGTGGTACTGTGGTTGGTAGATGTGTTGACATGGCAAGAGTGTAAACATGTTGATCCAGTAGTGGCGGCGAAGAATAGCTGCCTGACGAAAGCGCAAAAAGCGGTAAGGTTTTCTAAATGAGAGATAATGTCGAATACAATTTACACCCATTCATTTTAGGAATGTGAGGCTGCAGGTGGCGAATGTCAAATCGTCTTCGACGGTTACTATATTGAATCAATAATATGCATATTGTATGGAATTATATGGCTGCTGTGCATGCGACGTTGGATAAATTACTTACAAAATTTACAATTGCGTAGTTGGTTAGTTGTTAAAAAAGGGAAGGGAGTAAACAGTGCTAAAAAGGCGAGATAGCAATTCATTGTATGACATGAGGAGGATGACGCTCAACGACATTTGCTAGACGCCGATGAGGCTGAGGCAGCTGAATTCGATAGAAAAACTAAAACAGAGCTTGAGTTTGATAATTCGATGATTTGAGAAAAAATCGCCAGAAATACCATTGTTTAGTATGGGATTAGCTTAGAAAATAATAATTTAATGTATTTAAATTCCAAATGATATGCTTTTAAATGTATGTATGTATGATTGTAGTGCAATTACAAATGTATAGTATTTAGTGTTTTACCAATTATTATCCGATGCATTTCGCTGGCTTTCAAAATTGTATTTGCATCCACGGCTCAAACTTTAAAATATATAGATTACATACATATTGTCGATTAAAGTACAAAACCGCGTATCGTCATTCTGCAAAACCGTGTAACTAACATTTTTCTGCCAAAAATTGGACTTGCTCACAAAAGCTCTTGGCTCAATCTTTATCTATTCGTCCTGAAATATGCTAGCCAAAAATGCGATTGCTTTATAAAAAAGAGAACCATTTTGAAATATGAGAGTTTTTACTCTCTAGAAAACAATTTATGAAACCTCACATACGCGGTTTTGCATTAACTTTATACGCGGTTTTGAATTTTGGTGAAACGCGGTTTTGTACTTTAAACAACGATATGTATGTACATAAGCATTTTGTAGGTATGCAATTGTAATACAATTTTTGAATATGTCAATGTAAGGTATATATTTGCTGTTATTAAATGATCTAAATAATAAAACTGCTGGAATATTTGAAACTTTTCTGCTTCTAAGAGCGTTTAGAGCTTTTTTTCATGTGTAGAAAATAAATTAATCTTTTATGTGGCAGCCCGAATATAAGTTGTTGTTTTATTCTAGCCGCTTTGGTTTTTACAAGGTTAATAAAAAAATTAATTGTTGACATTATTTATAATTACTCCTCCCTCAACGAACTCATAAGCAAGAAGTCGAATCATTTTACTTGTCTTCGTAATTTAAGCTTGTTACAAAATCTGTTATTTTCATCAATACTTAGCAGCATTACCTTAATAATACTTCCACGAATCGACAGACTCCGGATTCTTTTGCTTACTCTTACGTTCAATTAAACCAGCCAAATGTTCGGAGCGCATCGACAAGGAGTCAATCTTTTCCACAAGCTGCTGATATGGACTCAGTGGTTGAGTACCCATCACCACATGACCCAGTTTTGAATCGATTTTGGCATTTAAACGCGCATTACGAATTAAATTTACAATCCAGCATTCCGCCTCATTGGCCTTCATGTTAAGCTTGTCGGCAAGCATGCTAATAGTGATGCATTGGTGAATACGACAGAAAGTTTCGAAGATCATAAGGCGGGCATCCTCGACGAATTCGTTCAAACAAGCGACAATGAAAAAGTCATTCAAAATTACTGTTTGACATTCGTGCAACTTCAGACGAGCGCCTTCGAAATCGAAATTCACGTACAGACATTCCAGGAATTCGGTAATGGGATCACGGTAAGTATATGATTCTTGCTGTATCACCTTGATGAGGTCCTTGAGCGCATTGCGGCGTGTACGGTTAATGATGACGGCGGTAGCCAAGTAACGCATAATGTGTGGACACATTGTCTGTATAGCATTTAGGTAGAGAGGCTTATATAGGAACATGTCAATAATTAAATCGCGTCCCTTGGGATGGTTAAAGAATACCAACACAGACCAGTGGATCAACCATGTGCGTTGTTGAAGGGCCTGAATTGTTGAAAAGTTGGCATTATCAATGTAGTCGCGCAAACG